CTTCATAGTAATCTGCCTCACTGTATGTTCAGGGTTTCACTAATGAAGGTGACATTTGCTGGTAAATAAGTAAAATTAATCCACCTCTACAATTTATATCCTTGTTATAGAAAGAATGAACAGAACCAGCAGCACAGTAATTTTTTTTTCTCTTGTTCCTATTTCTTCAACTCAGTAACTTTTGATCAAAATTAATTAATTAATTAATTAATTTGTGGCACCCTGGAGCAAACTGCAGTCACAACTATTATGTAAGATTCTAGAAATTAAAGATAGAACGGGGTTTCTGTCCTTTAGTCTCCCTAGCAGCCCATCATTTCCTGGTGTAATGAGAAAGACAGACATGTATTTTCCTTGCTTTGAACCACAAGTGAAAAGGAAGCTTTGGTTGAAGTTCTGCGCTATAGTTGTGACATCCCCGTGTGGGTGCACAAATTAGAACTCATGCCACTAGAATGCCAAGAACATAATTCCATTTAGTGTAAGAAAAATATGAGAATAAATGTAGTCCCTCAGATAACTTCAAAACCCAAGCAGCAATTGTGACTTCCTGGCTGGACCCAGGAATTGAATGATATTATCAGGTCCTTTAGTTCTTTCTCTCTTTCCTTCACTTGACATTGTGCTCCCTGATGTCCCAAGCAGATGCTTTTCAATTGACAGCAAAGATGCCTACACCAATCCAGCCTAAATTAACCATGGTAATGGCTACCATTCCATTAGTGGGCTTGACATTCTTCTACACATTTCACAGGCATTATCTCATTTAATCATCACAACCACTCTATGATTCTATGTAATTTGCCCAAGGACACAAATCATAAAGAATAAAACTGGACTTGATTAGCCAGTTTGGCTCTAGCACCCATGCATTTAACCACTACTGTAAGTTGCTGCTATAGTGCTCGAGATCTCAGGAAGAAGACGCCTTCTCTCTTGTAAAATCTATATCAAACATGAAAGTGTGCTCTGATAATTCTACTTGAATTTCTGCCTAACTTGCACCAGTTTCAGTGTCCAGGAGGAGCCAACAAATGTTCTACAAATCCCACATAGCAGAGTAAGGGGGACTACATGACATCCAGTCATAAAAGTTGGGAAGGTATAGTTTGAGAAGGGAAAATGTACATGGTTAAATGAAAAGTGACAAATGACCACTAGAGGGCCTCCCTGGTGGCACAAGGGGTTAATATGCATTCTATGAAGCTCTCCGCAGTCATTGCAGCATGAGTTCGATCTCTGGCCAGGGAGTTACCCACATGGCGCAGCAGACCTCTCCTGACTCGCCCGCTGCTCCTCTCAGCAGTGTATTTCAGTCAATCTGCCTGTTCTGTTCCCCACTGTCTCTGGTGAATGCTCTCCCCCTTTCCCCTGCACCTCTAGCCTGTACCCCAGTTCTTGTATGCATAAATAAACCTTTAAAAACAAAAACAAAAGCAAATGACCACTAGAGAAAGCCAAGCTTCCAATTTGCTAGAATGTTTCTAGAATTGCAACACTCAGTATTGAAAGCAGTACCTCTGTGTGAGTCCACTTTTCCATGACTTTTTTCTGCCTTGTAGTAACAGATAGTGACTACAGTCTGGTGGCCCTGTCACCTTCTCGCTTATGGAAAGCTGAACAGCTGAAGAGAATGAATGAGAAAACAGAATCAAAATGGTAGTTTATTAGACAATCGTGTTTGTCTCTGAACAGGTAGTATTTAATCAGTAACACCATGTCCGCTTCCACCTTACTTTTATCCTGCCTCATCTTTCCCAACTATCTTGTCTTCTGTTTCATTCTCTCCTTGATTAATATGATGGTGACCCTGATATAAACATATATAGAAATATACCAGTTTGTGCACTTAAAATTTATGCAATTGCCATTAACTGCATATTTTATGGCACCTTAATTTTTTTTAATTGACAAATACAAAACAATGTACCTGTGCAAGACAAACAAGATAATCTAATAAATTACCCTAAAGTCTCCCTGGGTTGCCTAGCGACAAGCTGCATGGAACCAATGCCCTCTGCACCCAGGAGGAGTGCCTGCACCTGAGCCCAACTTTCACAAATCACCAGATGCTATCAGCTGGCACTCAAACTATTTTTCGCTCAACTCCAGATTTTTTACCCTGCATAAAGGACTCCTCTCTGCTCATCAACAAAACGGGGTGTTTTAGGGCCTCTTTTCTAAAACAGCCTGGAGTGTACCTACTTGACTCTTGAAGGGATTCTGGTAGCTAGGTAATATTTGCTAAATACTGCCAGGTTGTTCTTCAAAGACACCTGGACTTTCTTGCATTTTATTATTACTGGATACTAAAGATTACCAGATAGGGTGTGGTTTACTGAAACCAAATAAAATGCTAAAACGGCTGTTGACTACAGGGATCCTGGAAATTTTTTGTTTTGTTTTGTTTTGTTTTGAACCTATGGTGAATGAATGAATTAGTAAAAATTTAGATGGGTTTTGGTCCAAGGTAGCTGTAAGATTTGTGTATCCAGGCAGATTATACTGCAGAATTTAAACTTCTGTCTGGTAAACCAGGGATAAATATAAAAGTGATATTATAATACACAGTACTTTAGAATTTTAGAAATTAATTCATCTGTCGTTCACTGTATTTTCGAGTTCCTCAAACATACCATGATTTATCATGTCACCAGGAAGTTACACATGCTTTATTCTCTCCTGGAATATCTATCTCCCTGTACCTAATTACTTAGCTTAACCAGTTTGTGTCTCCTCTAAAAAATTATCTGGTATGCTTCTCAAATCAGGTCTAGATATATGCTCCTCCTGGTCATAGACCCAGTCATACTGCTGTACAATAATCATTTTATATGTTTTTTCTATACTAGGGTAAAAGTATGTTCAGGGCATCATCGGTTCTACTCTAAGATCTGTGCTCCTCTCCATGCACCCCCAGTACCAACACTGTCTTTGGCCTTGCTCCTCTTTGGCCTTTACTCCCATCAGGAGAAAGCTTTATCCACACTGTTCAAGATTATTGTGGAAGTGAATGGAGCACAGGAATCATGGATATGTTGAGCAACCCCTGCAGACAGACAATAAGGAGGGACAAACCAGTTAGATTGATTACCTCTACAAATGAATGATACCAGTGTAAAAACACCCCTGTTGGAGCTCACTGGCTGCACCAGGAGGGAAAGAACAGTGTTGACTAACTCTCCAGTGGGATGTGTTGCTTTTCTTCCAAGTATGCAAAACCTTAGTATGTTTTCCCAAGGTTCAGCTGGGAGCTATAGTTACCACTGGTTCCATATAATCAATAAACATGTAGACATACCTGTTTCCATTGAGTACAAAACACCCTTAGCTATAAATCCAAGAATAGTAGCACTGATTATTGACAGATTTGGTATGACTATTTGTGAGAATTGTATGAGCTTTTGAGCATTTATTTAAGGAATATTTTTCTTCAAAATTGCATTAACTGTAAGACTCATGTATATTTATAACGAGTTTAATTTTTTTGACCACCTCATTCATTGGTCATAAGTTACAAACTTCTAGTTATATGATAAATAAATATTTGAGTTATAATGCACAGCATTATGCCTACAATTAGCAATATTGTGTTGTATATTTAAAAATAACTAAGAGGGCCTCCCCGGTGGCACAGCGGTTGAGCGCTGGGTTGCGAAGCTGCCCGCAGCCTCTGCAGCGCCTGTTCAATCCCCAGCTGCTCCCAAGCCACTGGAGGAGGGTCCCGCATGGCGCGCAGACCTCTCCTGCCGCCCGCTGCTCCCCTCAGCAGTGTACTTCTGTCCTTCTGCCTGCTCTGCTCCCCGCTCTGGTTCTGGTGAATTCTCTCACCCTCGTGTGCTCCTGACTGTACCCAGTGCTTGTATAAATAAATAAATAAATAAACAAACAAAAAAATAAATAAACAAACAAACAAATAAATAAACAAACAAATAAATAAATAAGAGACTATATCTTGAAAGTTCTCATAAAGAAAAATATATTTGTAACTGTGAAATAATAAATATTAACAAAACTTAGAGTGGTAATTATTTCCCAATATATACATACATCAAATCATTGTGTTATATGCCTTAACTTTATACCCTATTACATGAAAATTATATTTCTTTTTTTTTTTTAAAGATTGATTTATTTTATTTTATGCAAGCACTGGGTACAGTCAGAAGCGCGGAGGGTGAGAGAATTCACCAGAGTCAGAGCAGGGAGCAGAGCAGGCAGAAGGACCGAAGTACACTGCTGAGGGGAGCAGCGGGCGGCAGGAGAGGTCTGTGCACCATGTGGAAGCCTCCTCTGGTGGCCGGGGAGCAGCCGGGGATCGAACCGGCGCCGCAGAGGCCGCGGGCAGCTTCGCAACCCAGCACTCAACCGCTGCGCCACCAGGGAGGCCCTGAAAATTATAATTCAATAAGACTGGAGTTTGATTGTTTAACTCATGATGTATTTAAGGAGTCAATTAAATGTGAACATATGAAAGTAGGCTGGTTTAATATTTTATTAAAAACATAAGGTTTGAGGGCCTCCCCTGGTGGTGCAGCTGTTGAGCGCTGGGCTGTGAAGCTGTCCACAGCCTCTACAGTGCAGGTTCGATACTGGTTGGCTGGCGAGGGTCCCACATGATGTGGCAGACCTCTCCTGCCATGCTCGCTGCTCCCCTCAGCAGTGTATTTCGTCAGTCTGCCTATTCTGTTTCCTGCTCTGGCTCTGGTGAATTCTCTCACCTTCCTGCGCTTCTGACTATACCCAGTGCTTATATAAATAAATAAATAAATCTTTAAAAAATATAATAATAGAACCGGCCGCGCGCCGCCGCACCGCCCCCGGGGCCCGCGCCCGACGCGCCGCGCCTCGGGCCTCCGCGGAGGAACGCGGGCCCCGGCGCCGAGCCCTGCGCGTGCGCCTGCGGGGCGGACCTGGACGAGCGCGAGGCCTACTGCGCCAGCGAGTTCGCCGTGAACGGGATCGTGCACGACGTGGACACGCTGGGCGCGGGCGTCCGCCTGGTGACGCTGCTGCTGCCCGGGACGGGCTGTACAAGATGAGCCGCCTGTACGTCGCCCCGATGGCTTCTTCCTCCGCGTCCACCTGCTGGCCCTGGACGCCGCCGCCTGCGGCCGCCCGTGCCCGGAGCTGAAACCCGGCAGCAGGTACATCGTGATGGGGCACATCTACCATAAGAGACGGCAGCTCCCGACCTCTCTACTCCAGGTCCTGAGAGGCCGCCTTCGACCGGGAGATGGACTGCTGAGGAGCAGCAGCAGCTACGTGAAGAGATTTAACAGAAAAAGGGATGGGCAAGTTCAAAGTGCAGTTCACACCCAATGCATTTGACACCTGCCGTCCTGGCATTTTTGGATCATCGGAGACTTGGAATTCAGCTACAAAAAAGGAAGGTCTATTATGGCGTAATGGGGTTTCCCGTTAGAATAGGGCACACAGCGCCTTTGTGAACTCATTGCATAGTTAGTGCCATCTCTAACCTTGACGTCACCTTCTTCCTTACCAAATGGTTCTTAAATCGTGTGCTTCTGAGCTCTGGCGGTGCCTTATGCACATGGTTCAGATAACTGACCTGTCCAGTTAACAGATCACTGCTTCATGTTGTTTATTTTTAATTATTTTAATTTAAATACATTCTTCAGTAGAAATAGTTCACAAAACATTTCCTTGATTTAAAATATACAACTTTGAATAGTCTATATCACGTATCAAACCAAATTTATACTCAAAGCATCACATTTAAAATTCTGTACATATTGTTAAGTACACTAGGCAAAGACATGTATGAAATGTCATTTAGAGCAAACACTAGGGTCAGTGCCCAAGACAAGTATTAAAGTTTTACACTTAATGGACTTCATTCAAGCAAAATATTCAAACAGGTGTTCCTGCTGCACCAAAATGTAAGATAGTATTTCTTCTTGCTTTCCTGTCCTAAAAACTTACTTTTTTTTTTTTTTGGTGTGTGTGCGCTGAACTGGAAGCTGTCCCAATGCTGAACATTTTCTGGGTGTATCTGATGTCATCTTTCTATTAAGACCAAGTATCATGTTTGTGTTTGTAAAGAAGTAAATCATGACTTGAAATCAGAAAAAAAAAATATAATAATAAGGTTTGATTGAATAACGTATGTTCCACTAGCTACATATAGTTGTTATTAAGTCAATACATCAAAATGAATAGCATCATCAAATAGAAAAAAAAAAGTGGTATGTTTTTCCTGGTTACAGTCATCATGTTGTAAATGCAATTTTGTGTTGTGAGTTTTCATTAGCCAGGTCATAAGCATTTTGTAAGTTCCTGTATTGACATTATAATTATTTCATATATGGTAGTGCCATTAATTTGATAGAACATGTTATCCATGTTCTCATTGTTCATTTGGGCGATTTTTTATTGTAATTATATATAATGCAATTAATAGTTTATTTCTAATGATGCCTATTAATCCACATAAAAATACAAAATGTTGGACCTGGGGCGCTGGAATTTCTTAATCCAGATTGATAATACTACAATGTTTATCCAAAGTACTGCACTCTGCTAAGTACTAATAACAGTGTATTGGAGTAGCATATCTATCCTTGTAACTTATATGTTAAAGAATGGATATTTAAAGCCTTTTTTTTTCCTCATGAATCTATGTTATGTTAGATACTCTCTTTTCTAATTCAGAGACTAACAAGTTAGAACTTTTTGGTTGGTTTTGAATAGCATACTTGTATTAATGTACATAGTGTACCATATGTTAGTACGTTCTAGAAATGCTTTCTGATGTCATAAATTTTCACATTCTAGTCTTTGAAACATTCCTATTACCACCATATTAAATTTTCATATATCTCACCATGTCTATCCCTTGACTTTGCCTTTATAACAGTACCAGAATGATTCCTATAGCTCCATAAATGGGAGCTAAATAAATATGCCTCCTCTTGGAAATGATAGGCCTCTGCATTTGCAGTTAATTATGTTCTTGAAAAAGGTTATTTGCCTCCCTTGAGGTTGTGATTTCCAAAATCCAGTAAATGTTCTGCTTAAGATAAATCTCCTTTTCTTGAAAGTCGCTTATTTCTATGAAAAACATAACTTATTTCAAAAGAGGTGGCCCATAGCATACTTCTGGAATACTGACTCTACATCTGCTCTGCCATAAAGTTGAGCAGGATAAAAACCTAAAACCATATTTGTAGAGTAGCAGAACAGATCCTTAAAATGAATAATCTAAACAAGATTTAGCATCTAACTTCTAACACTTCTGCTCTGTTTTGCTTCAGCTATTCTTCCATTTTATAAATGTCTTCCTACAGTAGCAAAACTAAAAATTCATTTAGTTGGGGATAAGAGGGCAAAGTATGAGTAATAAAACCAAATGAGTGTTTGAGTGATAAAGCTACCAGAAAGTACAATGCTGACTCTGATTTCCAGTGTAAGTGATTGTGGAATTGTATCTTAAATTTACAATCTTGTAGCTGTGCAAAGAGGTGGTGGGAAATATGTAAAGTATATGGGTCAGGAAACCAGCTAAGCAAGGTCATAAGCTATGGTACACAGAACTTAATTGATTTCCTGGAGCAGAAGATCCTGAATCCAGGTTTCCCTAATCTTGGCTCATTAGACCATAATGAGGGAAGAATAATTTATATCAACGAGCACAGAAATTTATCTTTCCTGGCACTTAGAGCAAAGTAGCATTATTTATAATTTAGAGACATGCAGGTGTGTTCTTCTAACCCTTTCTTTACATCAAGATTTTAGGAAACTTTCTGTTTTGGTTTGGGAAAAACTAGAGACATTTGGGTTTGTGTAGTATAAAATTCATTTATTCATATAACATTCATTTATTCACTCATTCAGTCAGTCACTCAGAACCTGACATGGAGGGAGATTTAAATCAGTGCTTTATTTTAGAAGTGTCAACTGTAAGGCTATATAACCATGCCTGTATTGTCACTGGAGTAACTTCCATTAAAGTGTGCAGGCAAGTATATGGAGCAACGGGTGCAAAATAAAGTATCATCATGGGCCACAAAGTAAATGAATTATTTTTTTTTTCTCAATGAGAAGTTTTACTTGTAATTGTCATAAAAATTTTAACTACTTTTGTACAAACTACATTGTCACCGCCCATCTCATGCCAACCAATGTCCATAAAGATGCTGTCAGGTAAGGTAAAAGTGTCAGGCTTTTCTGCCCTCCCGTCATTAGGATAGATGACAGATCTGAGGTCCTGAATGCATGCCTGATGGCGGGCACCTGGAGTAGGTTGTGGGCATAGGTAGATGGGATTCCCCTGAGTAAGACTGGGCTTTTAAGGGCAGCATCATGGGGACGCCAGCAGAAGCTGAGAGAAGCAGAGAATCAGAGAGAGAAGCAGAAGCAGAACCACGAGAGAGAACGCGAGAGAAGGCCAGAGAGTCCAGAAAGAGTAAAGACTTGCTGGGGGCTGGGAGGCCTGCCAGCCTCCTGGCCCCCCAGCACCCCTGCCTGCTGTGTACCTGGTAAATCCCAATAAAAGCCTGCAAAAGCCACTGAGGGCTCCAGGACTCTCTTCTCCTTTACCCAGTCTGCTGGATCAGAAAACCTGCCCTGTGCTCCTTCCTGCCATTACAGATGCTTTTCTTGTTTTTTTTTTTTTTTTTCACTTGATTTGACAATGTGGCAAGGGTGCCCAGATCCCAGTACCTCAAAATAGACTAACACCAATTGAGATAGCTAAATGGAAATTAAAAAGAAACAGTGAAATTGGGACTTGTTTTCATTGGGAATCACAGTAATTCTACACTTTCATTCCTCAGCAATTGAAAATTGGATCTCATTTACTGTATCACATCAGATTTTTTTTTGGATTATTTTTCTCCAAACTCCCAAAATTCCAGTATATGCTAAAGTAAAATTATCCTTTTTGGGAAAAAAAAATATTTTATGTGAAAATGATGAGGACAGAAAGCAAAACTACCTGCTATCCATTGGGATGATTGAAACTAATCACTTCATGTTAGTCCTCCAGGTTAACAGATTAGTGGTGTTCCCACTCACCCTTGAACTCTTTTGCTTTATCATTTACAATCCCCTTTCATCTTAAAAAAAATTATTTGCAATGCATGTTTAACTTTTTGTAATACTGATTTGGTCTTGCTTGCTACCTCTGTTTTATGTGCTTTTTTTTTTTTCAAGATTTATTTATTCATGCATATAAGAACTGGGGCACAGGCCAGAGGTGCGGGAGGTAAGAGGATTCACCAGAGACAGAATCGGGAACAGAACAGACAGACTGACTGAAATACACTGCTGAGTGGAGCAGAGGGCTAGACAAGAGAGGTCTGTGGCACCATGTGGGTGGCTCCCTGGCAGGGGATGGAACTTGTGCTGCAGAGGCTGCAGATTGCTTCGTAGTGTGGTGCTTAATCCCTTGCGCCACCAGGGAGGCCCTCTTTTATTTTTAAAGATTTATTTATTTATGCATATAAGAACTGGGGTACAGGCCAGAGGTGTGGGGGGTGAGAGGATTCACCAGAGACAGAGTGGAGAATAGAACAGGCAGATCTACTGAAATATACTGCTGAGGGGAGCAGCGAGTGAGACAGGAGAGGTCTGCTGTGCCATCTGGGTAGCTCCCTGGCCAGGGATCAAACTCATGCTTTAGAGGCTGTGGACAGCTTCACAGGCTGCATCTTAACCCCTTGTGCCACCAGGGAGGCCTGGAAAATATTCTTTCTCAAGCAGCTTCAAAATCCAACTGACCTGTGAATAGTTCCTGATAATATTAATTTCAAACAACCCTGTCCATCCACTCAATGTATGTTTGAAACATACCTACCACTCATATGGTAGACACTGGAGACGAAATGATAGGAGCCGATGTTGTAGGGAAGAGACAGACATTCAAACATATTGACTCATAATATGATCGGTGCTTTAACAGGCTACTAAATACAGGGGGAGCAGAGTCAAAGAAGTGTTCTTTTACTATGTGGAGCTTGACACTTGGTTGATTATTTGTATGTCTTATCTTGTTATTGTTCTACAAGATCCTTGAGAACATAGGTTTTGCCTATTCATCTTTGTAACCTCCCTACTACCAAGCATCTAGTGACTGCCCATAAACATTTGTCAACTTGATGAATGTATGAGTTTCTGATAAGAAGGTTATAAACACAGACTCCTGATTTGAGGAGAAAAAGTTAGTCTTCATCTGCTTTTAAAAGTTTAAGCTTATGGTCCATGATAATAAATCATTATTTTGAATTATTTTCTTTGTTTCCTTAAAATGTATATGTTGACTCTTTCCATGATGTCCAAATAGACTTTCTTCAAAGAATTCACAACATTTAGCCTTAAATTACAGTTTCCTGACTGTGTAACAAGTGTTGATTTCATTTAAGCAACATGCTGTATCATTTATCTGGACTAAAGTGGATCAGATTAGGTTTCAAGGCAATTATGTCATATTCCTGGCTAGTACAGTCATTATTAGCTTAGGAATTGTTTAAAAGAAGTCAGTTTCATATACCTACTGCCTATTATTAAATTTACTATGTAATTTACTTATAAATGCAATAATTCAGATATCCAGATAACAATGTGAAAATTACCTAGGTCCTCCCTCCCTTTTATTATTGAACATTTTCAGTAGAGGCAAAAGAAATCTCAGTTTCTAAACTATGGACCAGATGCCATTCTCATGTTTTGTTCAGCATCGACAATCTGTTGTTTGCTAAATGAGTCTTGTTCTGACACCAATACAAGAAGGAAATGAGTTTCCACCATTTACCATTAAGTTTCAAAGTGGCCATTCAACTTCTGTTGGAAATTTGTTGGAGAAAAAGTTTAGGAATGTGGTATCATATATCACTCACTCACAAGAAATGACTCCTTGTTTGCCAGACTAGGAATGAAACTTGGAACTATTTGTATCAGCAAAAGACTGGAGTGTATGTGTGTTTTTGCAGATGGATAGAAAATGAACATAAACCAAGAACAATTAAGTCTTTGCCCAGAGATCTCCCTTTGTGCTAAGCATTGAGTGAAAGCACCTTTTTATCTGCAGCCCCCTGGAACTTTTTCTATTTGGTCTATGCCTTGGTGATATATTTTTTCACAATTTTT